GCATGCCATTTTCAGTTTGTGTGTATTAAAATTAACATTTCATGTGGTAAAATTTTTTTTTTTCATACTTTTGGGTGTCTTGCACGGATTAATTTGATTTCCATTATTTCTTATGGGGAAAATTCATTCGCATACCGATCATTTCGCATAACAATGAGCCCTCTTGCACGGATTAAAATCGCTATGCGGGGGGTCCACTGTACTAGTGAAATAGCTAAGAATTTGGTCAACTGGAGTAATATAATTGGCCTAAAATGGGAGCCAAAGTCGGCAAAATCACCGATGCGTAAATATCGCTGACACATCAAAATTCACAAGAGCATAATTTCATCAATTTTCCATTAAATTTTGTACTTTTTGTTTAATTACCTTCAGAAAAAGATTCTCTACCATTTCATAAGAAAAAATAACAAAATTATTTTTTGAAAATTCTCGGACACTGGTGCGCACTTTGAAATTTGGCCTTTGGACCCTGAAAGGGTTAATTAAAATGCCGAATTTGTGGTCTATTTTTGTATAGCATTTATGGTTGTATTCTCGTTTTCTTGGTCTCATTTGATAGAATGGAAAACATATAGAATTTGAAGTGATTTTGATTGGTTTTACTATGAAAAGAACCTTGAAATGGAACTCAAAGTAGGGGAAATGTTTGATTTTTGCCAATGTTCAAAAGTAAACAAATGATGTCATTTTCCAATAAATGTCCAAGTACCCATTCTAATATGCAGTCATAAATGGGTTGACATTATTTATACAATTATTACAATATTGCAGTAGTCTGCATAACAGTAAATCTTTTATTTTTTGTTTGAATAAAAATTCAGAATAGAAAGCAAGAGTAATATCAGAGGGGCATGGAGACATGACTGATGAACATAGAAAATGTTATTTTAGAGCCAGGAATGTCTGCGTTGTTCATTCTGGACCCTATTTTGAAACTGTCATTTTTAATTTTCGTGAAATTGGCCAAATTGCAAATTTCTGACCACGTTACTGGGTAGTTGAAATCAGTAAATGGGCAGTTTCTTGTACTCAGTCAATAGAAAAAATGGAGTTCTAAAGAAATAGCTATGAGTTTGGTTGACTGGAATAATGGAATTAGCCGAAAATAGGCTTAAAGTGGGCAAAATCGCCGATTCGTAAATATCGCCAAGATCGCTAACTTCACGAGAGCGTAATTCCGTCAGTTTTCCATCAAATTTTGTTCTTTTGGTGTCATTACAATCGGGAAAAGATTCTCTATCATTTCATAAGAATTTTTTTCTTTTTTTTGAAATTTTGCGACACCAGGAGACACCAAAGGATTTGGGGATGCGACAGTCAAGGGGTTAAAATCACCTAAAGGTCCAATAGGTTATTGTGAATTCAGAGTTCATGAATACAGTACCACAAAGATCTCTATAGGAGGAATTGGAATAGTATGTAAACACTACCAAGGTAAAGGACATATGCACTGGATAGCTTTGTTAATAATTAACAATTCATGAAAAAGCCATGTGAGTGAAAAGTTGTTAATAAAAGTATCCATTATATTTAATGGCCATTTATTCATATGCAAAAAATTCAGATTTTGGCTGTATTTCAGTAGCTCTCCCTCTTTAAATATTGCCCTAATTAGGGTAATACTGTCACTGATGAGAAAAAAAAACAAAAAATTTTGGCATTGGAAATCCACTGAGAACATTCTAAACAAAATTTTATGATTGTTTTTTAATTAAAGGAACATGTACCAAGCTAACAAGTAAATTTCTAGTGCTAACAGTGTACCTGTATTGTGCTGTATTAAATATTCATGAAAACTGACGAGTCAAGAGTCCTGGAGGTAGAATATTATTACACCGTATTATATTTAGAAGTGCTAAACCCATAGATGTTTTACAGGTCCTGGAAAATGGGAGGCAATCAGGCTCAAACAAAAGGGAAGAACAAGTCCAATTCCTTGTATCAAGTGCCCCTCACCAGAATCAAGGAACCTTCAAGCTTGAGGGATACTGGAAGTAGAAAGTACATTGTAATAATGTTGGCAGAATTACCAACATTATGGTAGGTAAAAGGAAACAAGTGTAAGTAATGTGACATTTTAGTAAGGCAATGTTTCACTCTTCAGGAGCTAACGGTTTGACAAAGCTCCTGGAGGGCAAAATGTTGTCACAACAAAATGTTGCATTAGTTGCATTGATGTCCGTTTACCTAACAGGAAGTACATTGCCTACACTCTGAAAGACAGATGCAAATGTTACAGTTCAGAGAGTCATCTGAAGTGTGATGTCTGCACACTTGAGGCAAGGCAGCTATTTAATAAACATGAAAATGTTTCCTCCTTTGCATCACTCCACCTTGGTGGGAAAAGGCTGATGTGGTTAAAAAATTTAAAATACTTACCAATTTAAAGCAATTTTGTAATAATTTATCTTTTTGGGGAGTCTGGCCCCTCATTCTGGACCCCTCCCCTGTCAATATATCCTAGTCAATTTACCAGAGTATTTTGTATGTTGTGATTATGTCTCCTCTCGATCTACGTGTATAGGTGTGACTATACATGTACAGTAACCGAATGCATGCAAGTGATTGTGTGCACATGTGATAAGTACATGCTCACATAAGTAGTGCAGTAACTACATTAGTCACTTCTTGCCTATAGCACTGTAACAGTTAAGGCTTACATCACACTAGCTGCATTGGCAAATAACTAAACTGGTAAATCCCAGATAGATGGAAAATAAAATGCGGAGCAGACAGGATCTGTACATACCAACCCAAGACACTCCTCAGAGACTATGGAAGAGGGATCTCTGAGGCTGAAATACATACACAGATCCATCCTACACACATTTTATTTTCTACGTATGTGAGGATTTACATGTTTGCCAGTGCTTTTAAATAATTCTAAGCAAAAATATTCCATGAAAGATCTCTCTTCATATGTTTTGTATTGAAAAGCAAGGATTCATAATCAGCAATGTGCCCAAACAGTGAATTTGGGTATTTTGCCCAATATGAAAATTTATGAGCTTAAAGACAATGGCTACTTAAGTGCAAACTGTCACTTCCTTAAGTAAATAGTATTAATTTCCATACTTCTCAATTATCCACACAAGAACCACTAGAATACACCTGACAACACTCATGGTTTTAAAAAGTTGAATTAAATGTGTTTTCTTCTTTGGGTCACCCTGCCTAGGCTGGAGATAGCCAATGACTTGAAAAAGAAATTCAATCATAGAATTAAATGAGCCAAGCATTATTTATATCCTTGGATGACCAGGCTCAAGAGGGTTAGGATGCTTCTCATCTCAAGCTTGAGAATAAACCCTTCAAATTTAAAGTTAAACTTTATATTCTATTTCTCTGACACTCACACTGTAATACAATTTAAGTTTCAAATTAGCATTAAATATTGAAAAATGGGAAATAACTCAAATTTTCTTAACTAAAAGACTACATACACACACACACACACACACACACACACACACACACACACACACACAAAATTTTGAAACACGATTAGTAGAAAAACTATAAATCTGCTCTTGCTGGCTTGAATGGTTGTTCTTACTTGTTGCCACACCTCTCCATGCTAGAGTTTTAACATGACTGACTATCCAAACATATTATCCTTTAAAATTGTTTATTTTTCTCATTCTAATTTAGTTCTGTACAACCACTGTCTTAGTGTGTGTGTTAAACAATGGCATCCTAAATGCATTAAACACGGTTTTACAACATTACTGCAAGTTCTATAATTTTCACAACTTCTACATATGGTTTTTGTTTTGATGGCAAAAATAACCTAAGACTATACTTCATCCTAATTAAATATGTATTCACTTAATTTCAAAAACTCTTGTAATGTGGCAAATTATACATGATCACATAACATGTCCACTACCTTAAATACAAAACACATTCTGACTCTTAATTCAATCATTACTTTCAACAACTAGGAGATTATATATGTAATCTTTCTGATTACATTTGTGCAGCATGAAGGTGGATAAGCATGAAGTGACTGTAACTATGAAAATATTATACATACATTAATAAGGGCTAGATCCAATACTGATAATATGGGCTAGATCCAATAATGATATGGGCTAGATCCAATAATGATAATATGGGCTAGATCCAATAATGATAGACCAAAAATTTGATGGGTGGGTAAGGAAACATGTAGAGTGTACTGCAAAGTTGCAACAATGACTACAGGCTTTTATCCGCTTCCTGTCCTTAGAGACCAACTGCAGAGGCCAGCAGTCATACACTGGTAAGAGAATACTTCAGCGCCATTTCAGTGATACATTTATTTTTATGGTGCAATTCTCTGGTTAAAACTAAAAAATAAAATGTTTACATATAGAATAAGTCATGGAACATCCACTAAAGTAGTTAGTATTCAACTAATGTTAGTGTATTCATTCCAGGCTCATTATACACATATACTGTAATGTTGTAAGCAACCTTCCTTTAATTTTATAAATGAATAAAATTAAAAAAAAAAAAAAAATGAAAATGTACTCTTAAAATGAAGGTATACCAGCAAGTTTACTATCACTGAAAGCTTGCCTTTGTTCTATGCAATAAGGATTCCAATGGTGGATAGGGAATCAAAGACTGAATCAATACTTTGGTAAGCAACAGCAGATTCTAGATGAGAATCTCAGGGTACTAAAAGCTATTTGAGCTACATATGCAACTGTAACAAATAGAAAAATATGGGTGGTTACTAACTGCAACAATGTTAAGTTACTTATTTCAATCCTTGTGGGAGACAAATGGATGGTGTTTGTACTGCTGTTGTGGGAGACATGGGCAGTCATGTAATTAAAATTCTGACAAACAATCTGAAAACAGCAATGCTGACATGGGGTTTAAGGGACTCTACCTCCACAATGTTGGGTTATGGAAACGGCACTGGAATAAAATTCTATGGCACTGGGGTCTAGCTACTCTGCTCTGGCCGACAGGGAAGGGCCTATGAATTTAAGATTGTCTGATACCTAAAGATGATTGAGTCCAGATCAAAGGGGTACTCAATGATCCCAGTGGTTGGTACTCGAGCCCTAAGAATATCCTGCTCGGTCGGTAAGAAGTCCGATGATATGATACGCTCCAAATCATCAAGATAACTGCAAGAGAAAAATAAGTTTCTTTGTCGGTGTTCCTTTGACAGTGTAGTGATGGATGGCGATGATAAGCAGCAGCAGCAGCAGCAGCAGCAGCAGCAGCAGCAATGAAATATGAATACTACCACCTTGCTGATGCCTTCTATGCTGCTATGTTAGTGAAAAAACAGACTGGATGCAAATGTGTATGTGTACACACACACACACACACACACACACACACACAACACACACACACACACACACACACACACACACACACACACACACACACAAGCACACACACAAGCACACACACAAGCACACACACAAGCACACACACACACACACACACACACACACACACACACACACACAATGGTACCTAATAAGTCAAATCAAACAAATAAAAAGTGTTTTAAAATATTTTCTTAATTAAAATTATCTTAGGCATGAACAAATATATTTATGTGAAACAACTAAGTACAAAATATAAATTTTGCACCAAAATATATGAAGCATAATAATTAATCTTGTTAAAATTAACCTAATTTTACATAGCTCCAGCCCACCCAACCTATCTATGGATAAAAAAAATTGAGCTGGTATTATACAAGATCCATGAAATAATCCATACTGTGATGCTCAGAATGATCTTTGCAAAGTTGTTGCAACAAACAACTGGGACTCAGCTTCACTGATAAAAGTGGCTTGCTAAAAACGTTAAATTTACAAACTTGAAACTTAAAGTATGCATGAACACTTATACACATACAGGTGTGCGCATGCGTGTATGTCTGCGTGTGCGTGCATGTCTGCATGTGTGCGTGTGTGTACTCACCTAATTGTGGTTGCAGGGGTCGAGACTCGGCTCCTGGCCCTGCCTCTTCACTGATCTTTACTAGGTCCTCCCTCTCTCTGCTTTGTCATACCTTATCTTAAAGCTATGTATGGTTCCTGCCTCCACTACATTACTTGTTAGACTATTCCACTTCCTGACGACTCCATGACTGAAGAAACACTTCCTAACACCACTGTGACTCTTCCGAGTCTTCAGCTTTCAATTGTGACCCCTTGTTTCTGTGTTTCCTCTCTGGAACATCCTGTCTTTGTCCACCTTGTCAATTCCTCGCAGTATTTTATATGTCATTATCATGTCTTCCCTGACCCTCCTGTCCTCCAGTGTCGCCAAACTGATTTCCCTTAACTTTTCTTCGCATTACAATCCCCTTAGCTCTAGGACTAGTGTTGTTGCAAACCTTTGCACTCTGTCTAATTTCTTGACGTGCTTCACCAGGTGTGGATTCCAAATTGGTGCTACATACACTATGAGCCTGATGTATATGGTGTACAGAGTCTTAAACAATTCCTTACTGAGGTATCGGAACAGTATTCTTAAGTTTGCCAGACGCTCGTATGCTGCAGCAATTATCTGATTGATGTGTGCCTCAGGAGATGTACTCAGTATTATACTCGCCTTAAATTCTTTTTCCTTGAGTGAAGTTTGTAGTCTCTGGCTACCTAGACTATACTTTGTCTGCTGTCTTCTTTGCCCTTCCCGATCTTCATGACTTTGCATTTGGCAGGGTTAAATTCAAGGAGCCAGTTGCTGGACCAGGCTTGTAGCCTGTCCAGGTCTCTTTGTAGCCCTGCCTGATCTTCAACTGATTTAATCCTCATTAACTTCACATCATCTGCAAACAGGGACACTTCTGAGTCTATCCCTTCTGTTATGTCATTCACATATACCAAAAACAGCACAGGTCCTAGGACTGACTCCTGTGGAACCCCGCTCATCACAGGCGCCCACTCTGACACCTCGTCACATACCATGACGTGTTGTTGCCTCCCTGTCTGATATTCTCTGATCCATTGCAGTGCCTTTCCTGTTATGCATGCCTGATCCTCTAGCTTTTGCATTAACCTCTTGTGAGGAACTGTCGAAGGCCTTCTTGCAGTCCAAGAAAATGCAGTCTATCCACCCCTCTTTCTCGTGTCTTACTTCTGTTACCTTGTCATAAACTCCAGTAGGTTTGTGACACAGGATTTTCCTTCTCTGAAACCATGCTGGTTGTTGCTTATAAGCTTGTATCTTTTCAGGTGCTCCACCACTCTTCTCTTGATCTTTTCCATGACTTTGCATACTATACACGTCAGCGACACAAGTCTGTAGTTAAATGCCTTGTGTCTGTCTCCTTTCTTAAAAATTGGGACTGCATTTGCCAGTTGTCCAGATTCAAAGGATGTGTTGAAGATTTTTGTTAGTGGCACATACAGCATCTCTGCTCCCTCTCTAAAGACCCATGGAGAGATGCTGTCTGGTCCCACCACCTTTGAGGTATCAAGTTCACACAGTAGCAGCTTCTCCTCCTTGGTTGTATTTCATCCAGCACTCATTGGTGTACCTCCCTATTCTGAATTCCTGTAGCCCTTCCTGTCTCCACTGTAAATACTTCTTTAAATCTTATGCTGAGCTCCTCACATACCTCTTGGTCATTTCTTGTGAACTCCCCACCTTCCTTCCTCAGCCTGATTACCTGGTCCTTGACTGTTGTTTTCCTCCTGATGTGGCTATACAACAGCTTCGGGTCAGATTTGACTTTCGATGCTATGTCATTTTCGTATTATCGCTGAGCCTCCTTTCTTATCTGTGCATATTTATTTTTGGTTCTTCGGCTAATCTCTTTACTTTCCTGGGTCCTTTGTCTTCTGTACCTTTTCCATTCTCTAGTGCACTTAATTTTTGCCTCCCTACACCTTTGGGTGAACCAAGGACTCGTTCTGGTCTTCCCATTATTTCTGTTTCCCTTGGGAACAAACCTCTCTTCTGCCTCCTTGCATTTTGTTGCCACATAGTCCATCATTTCTTTTACTGGCTTTCCTGCCAATTCTCTCTCCCAATGAACGTCTTGCAGGAAGTTCCTCATGCCTGTATAGTCTCCCTTTTGTAGTTTGGTTTCCCCGTCCTATTCCTGCTACCTTCTCCACTTGTAGCTCAACTATGTAATCAAAGCACAGAACCACATGATCACTAGCTCCAAGGGGCCTTTTGTATGTGATATCCTCGATGTCCAAACTACTCAAGGTGAATACTAGGTCCAGTCTTGCTGGATCATCCTCACCTCTCTCGCTCTCTAGTAGTGTGTCTAACATGCTGATGCACGAGGTTTTCCCCAATACCACATCCATCATCTTGGCTCTCCATGTTTCAGGACCCTCATGGGGCTCCAGGTTTTCCCAGTCAATCTCCTTGTGATTGAAATCACCCATAACTAGTAACTTTGCTCTCCCCATGTGAGCTCTTCTGGCCACCTCCACTAGTTTGTCTACCATTGCTCTGTTGCTCTCGTCATATTCTTCTCTTTGCCTCCTGCAATTCTATGGCGGGTTGAACATTACTTTAATTAGCACCTTATGGCCCTCGGAATTGGACTGTTCCTACTATGTAGTCCCTTTTGCCCATTCCATTTCTTCCTTCCATTTCCTCAAATCCCCACCAATTTTTAATGAGCAGTGCAACTCCTCCTCCCCCTCTGCTCCCTCTATCTTTCCTAAGGATTTGATATCCAGGTGGAAAGATTGCATCTGTTATCATCCTGGTGAGTTTCGTTTCTGTGAGTGCTATTATGTCTGGAGATGTCTCCTTGATTCTTTCATGCCACTTCTCACATTTATTTGATATTCTGTCTGCATTTGTATACCAAACCTTCAACTTCTTTTCTAAAACTGTGGTCTGGGGGGGGGGGGAGGAAGCAGGAGACCTGATGAGGAACTATGGGTGGTTGCTATGAAGGTGGAGTTTGTAATGAGGTGGGTGGGGGTGTTAGATATGGCATGTGTGTTTTGGGTTAGAATGTTTGGTTGCACTGGGGTTGTCCTGGTTGGGGGGCTTCTATAGAATGGTTGGGAGGGAGGTTGTATTTGAACTTCCTCCTGAGTCTGAGTTCTCCTGTCCATCTCCATCTTCACCTCTTTCCTCCTTTCATCTTTGTACCCTTTCTTTCAGTTTCTGCCTTTCTTCTTGTGTTCTCTCGCAGTCAAGATACACCCTCCGGTATGCAGACATATCCTTTAGTCTTGCTTTCTCCTGCAGGATCCTGTTTCAAGCCGATTCTGCCTTGAAAATCACTTTGACAGGCCGGTTTCATACTCTTGCAAACCCCCCTATTCTCAGAAAATTTGCCAGCTGGGTTATGTCATCATCTCCTATTGTTTTCATGATGCTTTCAATTGCTTTTTTCTCCCCTTGTCTTCTTGCTTCTTAAGTTTCCCCTTCAACTTCCTGGAGCCCATAAACAAAAACTGATCTCTCTCCCTTTCATTCTCTCACTGCATATCCCTATGCATCCCCCTGATTTGATTTAGTTGCCTCAATTTCAGCTTTCCTTTCTTCAATCTCTTCACTATCTGTTGTCCCTGGGCCCAGTGGTCTGTCATTTTCCCTTCTCAGCTTTCCCTGGCCACTGCTGTGGTCTGTTAGGGCCTCTATGTATAGCTCAGCTCTTTCATCTTCTACAGTCCCCTCGACAGTTTCTGATTTTATCCTCTTTTTTTCTCGGGCTCCACAATGGTTTGATAGGGCCTCTGCATACAGTTTCACTCCTTCATTCCCTACAGTCCCCTTGCTTGTGACTGATGTAGCAATTTCTGTTGTCATGCTCACAGTGCTCTTTAGTTCTTCAGGCTGTTTCAAAATTTTCAGTTCCTTTTCTAATCTCTATATCATAGATAACTATATCATAGCCTCTGCTACTGTGACTTGCATCTCCCACTTCCTGCTCTCTGCAGCTATCCTCTCCTCCATTTTCACGCTAAGCTCTTCTAGCTTCAATCCCCACTAATGTTCCCTTTTCATGAGCTCTGCTACCCAATCTTCCTTCACAGACCCATCCTCCAGTCCCCTGGTTTCCCATGCTGGTCTCTGGCAACCCATTTTTTTCGTTGCCACAGAATGAAAAATTATGTATTTGTGTGGTTTTGTGATGTACTTGTCTGAGTGTGTGGGGGCAGAGGGAGAGGAGGAAGCTGGAGACAGTGGCAAAATGGGAGA